TAAAAATTTCAATAGGAAAGGTTTTGAAAATAATGCGACATTAATTTCTTTATATTCTCTGTATACGTAATAATCTCTTTAAAGTTTTAGGCAGTAATTATCCAAAGCTATATATATTTTACTTAAAATGCAAATGTTATGCATGTAAATATGAATTTGCCACTAGATGGCCTTCATAACGGATGTAGAAGACCTACATATCTAAAGGTGGATTTTTTATAGTTTCGACATATGGTAAAAGTAAGGAATCGTAATAACGACACTTATCGCAATTCAAAAATGATTCTTCTATCAATGATTCTTGTGCCAAATGAAAAGCATTCGCTGAAAGCATTTCTATGAAAAGTTTTCAAAACTTCAGCCGCAAAAATGCATGAATGATCCAGACGTATCATACGCTTTAACAGGAGAGCAATACTCTCTGCTTGCTTGAAAGTACGGTTAAGAAGGGCGAAACCACGGCTACCAATAGCGATTAATCGATTTGAACAATACGCTGTTCAAAACACAAGCGAAATATTAAAAAAGACAACACTAGGTTATCTGTCTATGTGACATCCATCCAGCCAGCCACGCAAGTGCAAATGCTCAACTGTGAAGTGGTGGTTCATGCGACTCGAGTTATTCCGATTGTAACTTGTTCACGTGGCATTCAAAAATTTTTAAACAGATGAGAAACATTTATAGCCAGGGATGTGCAAAACTTCGAATAACATATTTTTTATCATTTTCATAAGATACGTGTGTACTTTCTACACAAAAGTTGCAGTTTCGTATATATATACCTGGTAGAGGGGCATTCATTCCAAAACATAAGTCATTGCTATTTTAAATAAGTTAAGTTGTTACTATTCCGAGTAATCGAATAACAGAATCGGAAAACATTTTATCGGAGTTTAGATGTTCAGTTCAATTACGGTATCAATCAATAGAACGACGCTTTTAATTTAACATTGCTCTGATTTAACCAAAGAATTTTATTAAAAATTTGCAATGCAATACCGATCTCTCCGTGTTATATTGTAGTCTTTTAAGACTAAGTCAAGCATATTGCACTTTGTCTATACATATAGCCGTTTTGTTTTAAGTCTAATAATATCGGTTGCTCTAAACCATCAAAAATGCTTTTACCTCATTTCACCTTCTAAAGATTCTGTTAGATCACGGATGAAAAGCAAAACAAGTAACAACATTATAGCAAGTCTTTTCCCCTCCTTAAATACCCTACATCACTCTACAGTTATTCATTTAACGACTTTTCAAAGAAAAGCTTACAGTCGAAATAGATTGGCTCTTAAAAATAAATCTCTTTACTCATTACGAATAAATTTTTTTAAAATAAAGCAAAAAAAAAAAAAAACATTATAGTCGGGCTAGGCCTGGACTGTTACGTACCCTGTACCAGAATTCTTACTTTACCTATAAAACACAAAAATTATAGTCTCTTTTTATAGGAACCTCCTTGCAAATAAAGGCCTATTTTCCGTAAGAATGGCTGTGCCCAAGACGTTCAAAAACTGCGGTACATAATTAAAATTCGGTATAGTTGATGTTTATATCAAATCACTATTGTGGACGAATTTTTTCATAAAATATTAAAACTTAAACTTTTGTGCCCTAAAAAACAAAAATATTCGTCAAAATCCTTACATAGGGTAGGATCCAAAAATAAACCGGGATGGTCTAAACTTAGTATAGTACTTTTTTTTTCTTAAATTACTACTATGGGTTAAATTTCCAAAAAATCAATTTTCGTGAATATCTATAAGTATGCTAGGATACAAAAAATAGAGCGAGATGGTCCGGATTTAGTATAGTTAATTTTTTTATCTTAAATTAATATAATTAGGTGAGTTTCGTTATGAAGCATTGAAAATTCGGTCTCTTTGTCATATGAAGTTCAGTCTTCGTTCTATGAGAGGAGGTTCAAAAATTGCCACAACTGGTCCAAAGTTTTTAGTACCAACTTAGAATGCTGAAATGCAATTACTTAGACACTTTTGTCGAGGAATTTTGAAAATTACATTTTTTTCCATATAACGACTTTTCAAAATAAGATGCAATATAGGATGTTTATGATGAGGTCGAAAAAGTGGACCGATCCATGAAAATAGTTTATTTTCGATAGCGTTTGTCCTTAGGTCAAAATACGTCAGTTTACCAAATTTTCTCAAAATATAAATAAACGAGTTGTAGCTTGAACATAAATTAACGTGGACAGACAGGCAGACAAGCTTAAACGTTACATATGTCCGAACAAACTTAATATATCCTGTATCACAAATGGTGCATGGTGTAAAAACGTAGCAAAATTCATGTATAAAAACAAAAGAGAAAGAGGAAACAAAAGCATGTACACATCCAGCACAGAGGCAAGCTCCCAAAACCAATGTGGTTTCGAATAGGGACTGAACCCTGAAGCATGTACGAGAGCTACTAGAAAAAGCCTTGATAGTGGAAGCTAATTGTTGAGTAACAATTCTTTCAAAAAGCTTAGGTAAGACACCCAACTTGGCAATGCCTCTGTAGTTCTCGACAAGATGTCCGCTTCCACTTTTATAAATAGGAATAATAAAGGTACTTAGTTTTGCAACAGAAAGGGAGACCCCTGTCTTCAAAGAAATAATAAACACCTTTATGATAACGCCACATAGTTCTTCAGAGCCTGTTTTCAGTGCAAAAGGTGGGTGGCCAGGATCAATTCCTGGCGCATATACTGCAGCTTGTAATACGTCACTTTCAGAAATTATTAAATTCGGGATGTATACAGAGTTTATAATTTGAAGTAGGCAATAGGGAAGCATCGGCTTTAGCAGTAGAAAGGTGCTCTCGGAGATATTCGGCGAAGAGATTCACGTTTTCTATATCCCCAGAGGAATAACGACTATGAAACGATATCGATGATGATGAATATATGGAGACTCAGCTTTTGGAGTTGAAGGATTTGTAAAGTCGTTTAGGATTAGTAAGAAGTGATGGTTTTGGCGTTGGAAGCTAACTGCGCGTGACTCTAGTGGTTGATGGAATTAGATTTGTATCTCACAGTAGAGTAGATGAAATAGTCATTTACAGAGCCACTTTTCATGTATTTTTTGATAAGTTTGTTATTCCTATTTTTATAGCATTTGACTGTTCTGTTAAACCGTGGCGGGCAACTGTTTCGACGGAAGGACTGTCTAATCGAAACGGACGCGAAAGTAACAAGGTTTAATACAACATGAAATGTAGAAATTAGGGTTTCCATATTCTTGGCAGAAAAATCGAGTAGTTTATTTGAAAGGTGAGATTTAAGCAATGAAATAGTATTGGAGCATAAAATTGGAGTAAGTTAAATTTAACTTGTTGGGGACACTCAACATGTCATCATGCTTTAAAGGATAGATAAATTGTTGGATGACTTGGGTCTTCACGTAAACTAAAAGGCAGATAGCGATTTGCAGTTACTTCAGGGGAACGAACAAAGCTAAGAGCTAAAAGTCTCCCTTTGCAATAAGTCGCATGATTATATTAAAGAAGATTCCCATTGAAAAACTTAATAGCCTCTTCAGATGTTCAAGTGAAAACCATATAGTCTGAGTTGACACTAAGACGCCAAGTGGCTTGCCGGATATGAAATTGAATTGAAATGCTACAAACTTATCAGCAACATCACAAATAAGGGATGCATCTTCCTTATAAGTAGGACATCTGCACTTGAAGGAATGTGTTAATAAGTCGGGAAGAGTTGGGAATTGAAATGAATAGAACGGAAAGGTATCTAATATAGCTATTAAGACGATCAGGACATTACTTTCTGAAAACATGGAACGTGTTGCGACGTGCGCAGACCTGGTTTTAGACAGGTTTCAGTAAAGACCGCACTCACGAGTTTGGGAATTCAATATTTTGGTAGCCACTAGGCCTGAGGGGACATCGTTGTTCGTGGAAGTGTTATCGAATTATTACTTCGACATTTCTCCTTAGGAATGCATTTTTTTTATTAAAAAGCCTCGTGGCCGCAATGTTTTGTTTAATAGGAATCAGAATTTTGACATGGCACTCTTTTGTACCTTTCAAGAATGTTCGTCTTTAGGCCAAAACACATCAATTCACCAAATTTCGTGAAAATATATCAAAAATTGAGGAGTGCAGGTTGAACGCAAGAAAACATAACGGGCAGACAGGCTTAGAAAGCTGGGAAAATGATTCTGAATCGATTGGTATAACAAAACGTAAATTTATCTCAAGTGCTTCTGGGTGCTGCAAACAGCCACACAAACCTGATATATACTTGTGGTAGTAGGGTAAAACAACTCCCTGCAGGCGAAAAATGTATAGAGCACCGAATCAAATTATGTCGAAGTTTCGATGATGTAATTATTCCAATTAGAAAGTTTTTATTTTTAACATATTTAGACGCTTAGAACATCAAACTTTTCAAATATTTTCCCCTCTTTTTGTTGCTGAAACCTGGCAGAGATTTCAGGCGATGCATTTTTTTTGTTTGTGAACAGTGTTGAAATCGAAATGAATGTATTTACTACTGTGGGATTTACAAAATCACGAAAAACGTATCTCAAGCCTTTCATTAATATTAAGTATATAGGACTTGAGATACGCATCATTTTTTTTTCAACAATTTAAAAAAAAAAAAAAAACACCAAAGTCGATTTTGAATATATTTTATACTATTTCTTTTTCTCTTTCTTTGCAGATGATTATAAAATATTTTTAAGTTTTCATCGAGAAATTCGTTAATTAATTTAATCATTGAAAACTGATATTTTTGTGTGTATTGAGTGAATTCGATGAAATAAACGGAAATTGGATAATAAAAGAAGGTTAAAGAAATTTAAAATAATAATAATAATAGTAATAATAATTAAATAAAAAATTTTATAAAAAAAAAGTAAAATTACAATTAAATAAATACAAATAAAAAAGAAAAAGCAAAATAATAAAATAAATAAAAATGCAACAAAAGCATAAATTAAATAGGATTTAAAGGTAAACATTATAACAAAATGTGTATTAAAAAATATATAAAAATAAATAAATTTATTGCAATATATATGTGAGATAAAGCTATGCCATCGTTCATGAGCGAGCAAAAAGAGAAATTCTTTTATAATATGGAAAAATCATTTAAAATGCGTTAAAATTGTTAACTTTTTCTTTGTATTTAAAACTAAAATAAAATTTTGTGCATAAAAAACGCATCAGCAAATTCTAATAGCACTTCCAATGACCTCGTGTACGATAAATTGTGGAATAGTTTCTAATTCTAATAATTGGTGAGTATTGAAATTTTTTTTATAAAATTCAGTTGACCAGTACAAGGCGGTTGATTAGCAAAGATAAAAGAACAATACATGCTTAGAAATATGATTGCTTCCGATGACTTCTGCATTTTGATTGAATTGAAAAAAGCGTCCGTCCATTACTCGTAAGCGTTCAGTCAATCAATCGTCTCTTCACCCTTCCGTTCAATTAACGATCTTCTTATCTCTGCCTCTATTTATATATAAATTTACTTAAATGAAAATTACGATACCAAATTTTCCCCATATATCTCTAACTTAATATCGCAAATTTATTTCTGGTAATACGCTTGCTTTTCATTATTCATTACACTTGTGAACTTGAATGAAAACAAAAAAAAAAAACGATTCACGTTCGTTTATATAAAATCCAAAAATACATATGATTACAATTTAATCGCCACATTTGGACCGCAATTTTTAATGCTTTTTTATAGGCGTGTTTAAGGCAATAAAGGTTTTCATTTCCATTCGCTGACGTTAGTTTCTCTTTAGTCAAAACAATTAATTTCACAAACTCATCGAACGGAATAATGACAGAAATTATATAAATAATGTGCACATTTGTCTGTACACCCACATAAACTCATTATTATATAATCAAAAACTTATTTCCTACAACAAAATTTTAAACAAACAAATTTACTTTGAAGTAATTATTATAATTTTGTTTTTCTTAAAAGCTTTTCTAGTAATACAAACAATTTAAGACAAGCAGAATTTCGGCTTGAAACGAAGCTTTAGTGCTTCGATGAAGGGATTGTAAACGCTGACAATTGTAGCATTGTGAACGAAGAATGTGACATAAGCTTTTTATTGAAAATTGCTTCGTGCTTATATACTCGTGCATTTTGGACTAACAAACGCAACAAATCAACAAAAGTTGAACTTTTCTTTATACTATTGGGAGTACAGATTAACTCGATTTTTAAGAGATAGTGTCGGCATCTTGAAAAAAATTAGAATTTCGTTATTTGAGAAGGTCATTTTTAAGCCACGCGGAACTGAGTAAATTCTCAGACTTAACCGTATGCAAAATAGTTTCTTGAAGCTTTGAAAGGGTCGAGTCGTGTAACAAAAAAGCGCCATTTGTGAGAAAGTTTTTTATTCTGCGTAGATCGGAGGATAGTATTGGCACATCTTTGCAAATGATGGTTACAATAGAAGTATGCGAACTTGGCTTATAGATAGTTTCAAAAGACGAAAAATTTTTTCGACATGAAAATCGAAAATTGCTTGAGAGGTTAGGAAAAGTAATAGCCAGCGATCGACAATGCATCAATTAATGTATTGTTTGTTAATTCGTTCATTCCTTTTGTCTTCAAATAATCGCAATTTTTCTCGCAGAAAATGAATTAATTCATATACTCATTATATAAAAAAAAAAAAAATTTGACGTGTTATGCGATATATTCTTATAATGTAAGCTTGATAGCGCTAATTTAGTGAAAAACTGATTACGTGAATAGCATTAAGGGCTAAAGTTGATTTTGCGCAATGAAAAGGAATACGTTATGGTAAAGCACCGTAATCGTGATTAGCCGAAACTCAATTATGAAAATTATTAACGATTTGCGCTGTATACATCTATAGCACATGCGTTCTTTAAGCATTTCAATGTTGCATATTTTTAGGCTTTGTAAATATTTAAGTAACTTTAACATATCGAAAGGGTGTTGTTGAATATGCCAGTTGCTAGATAGGCTTCCTCAAATAATACTTGCATAAGAAGTTACATCAAATTAAAACTCAATCAATTAGATTAATAACAGAATATTATAAGGCTTTCAGTTCTCTTCTACAGTAAAATACCGTGATAGAAACATAAAGTTATGAAGTAAAGCTTCTTCTAACGACTGCACTCGAACCTCGCTTTTTCAAAAATGACAAAAGGGGCAATAGGCGCGCTTAATGCACATTTTACTCTAAGTCCCAAAGCTTATTTTGGGCACCCTGGCACGCATTAGATGTGTAGATTAAAAAAGGGAAAAATTAACTTTGCAGAAAGTGTAATATAAAATCAAAATAACTGATTTCAATTCAATAGAATATTTCATGATGTTACAAGCAGGATAATGAGCTCGGTATATTCATACCTTTGTATATACATGTCTGTATATGTGTATTTACATTACATATGCAAATTTGTAAATGCTAGTAAGTGTAGCGCTAAGCTCCCCCAGTAAATGCTTTTATACGTTTTATACATATGTTGTGTGTGTGTGTGTGGTTGTGAGCTTGCGAATGTTGTGTTATGTTACCATTTTGCTTTCCATCTACCTTAACAGCATGCTCTTATTTGACTTGTATATTTTTCATTCATTTCTGTTTAAATGCATGGATTTGTGGTTTTGCGTGTACATGCCTTTATGTGCTTGTTTGTGTGCAATTTTTAAAAGCATGCGTGACTTATTTATGTCACTTTAATATTATGCAATTTTCAATTAATGTTTGTATTTTATTAAAAGAAACATCTTACGTCTGCCTGCTGTGTTCAACGTGAGCTCATTTACCGGTAATACACTTACAATGCTTCCCTGAATAATACCATTTTCGTTTCTTCCTCTTGAATATTTTGTATTTTGTTTTTTTTTTTTTCTTGTTTATATAACGACTTTAATCTTTTCAAATCAGTTTTTTTCGGTTTTTTTTTAGTTTTTGAAACTTAAAAAATTTTTAATTATTAATGCTTGCGTAGTGTGGCATAGGTGTGGCTTTTATGCTTGTCAAGTTCTTGCTCATAATTGGTTTGACCTCGTTTCTAATTAAATTAAAAAATTATAAAACCTGCAATGGCAATTTTTTCCAGTTTAATTTCGATTTAAGGAACAAAGAAAATATTCCCCTGAAATATATCTCGAATTGTTGTTACTTTAGCCAAACGAGAACAAAATGATAAACTTTTCCTTTAAAGGAAAAGTTGTGAAAGCGAATACCTAAGCGATATGAAAAGCTTAACTGTGAGACAGTTTAATAAAATCGCTAAGAGAGCGGGGGCATTAATTGAAACCTATGACTTTTTACTTCCATCACCAGCTTCTCATTTATATTCGATGTGTGTACTCTAATCGAATACGTTTTACTTTCGCCAATAACTTTTTGAAGCAATATATAAGGGGCAAGATGTTTGCCTAGATTTTTTAAAACTAAAATTCACTTTTGTATGGGCAGATGGTTGGATAGTAAGTGGGCAGACTGAGAAATTCTGTAAAATCATAAAGAGTATGACATGTGCCCCAACAAAGTGATAGCATTAGAAGCACACACGATCACAAGTTGTGAAAATAGAAAACTCCTCCATTTCGATTTCTCAGCAATAAGCACTGGCTGATTACAATATTCCACGCTATTGGCGGAATAGTTTCCTAAGACTTCTCTAGAAAACTTAAAGAAATAAATATGCAACGGCCGCTACAAGGTGAGCAAAAAAATCCATTCCGTGGCCCTCAATTGACTTTGGAGATAAAAATAATAACCAATGCTAAGAGAATGACGGATGAATCGAAAAGAAAGCTTCTAACCAATTAGCCTAACCTTTTCTTTTTTTATTGCTGACAATATCCATTCTTCCACTGTTTTGACATTTCATTCTACTCCTAGAGATGAGTACTTTACTGTATTTCTGGGTCTTTGCTTAAAGGAATGATCGAAATTACTTTGATTGCATTAAAAAAAAAATTCTGAGGCTGGTTAACCTAAACGACTGTTCCGTTATGGTGTTTCTCTTAATCTTGGCAGCGCACTTAACTGCCGTGTTCTGTCGATATGATCTGCTGTTAGTCATCAGAGAACACATTGTCTTTTCACAGCAGACATCGATTAGTTTGATCGCAAAACAAAATAATAACGCAGAGGATAGTTAGCCAAATTAATTTTTTTTTGCTCTGCAATTTCGTAGGCTGGCCTTCCGCTTATAGTCTCTTCCTTGTTCTGTCTCTCTCTCTCTCTCTCTCTCTCTCTCTAAGCGGATTGGGACGTAGTTACATCTTTCTTACTTAGTCACATATTGTATTTCTTGAATATGTTAGCACTACTGGGGATTTGGAGAATATTCTCATTCCTTAGACGTAACGAGGACGCATGTAACTACCAAATATCAGGTTTTCAAATTAAAATTTAACGACTTGCGGAATTTTTACAATAGACGACATTGTTAGATATGAAATATTGTTAAGTTTATTGCCGAATGTTTCAAACCGAATGAGCGGATACTTTCATTTTCCATTAAAATAAAAATTTTAATGATGTAATAAAAACGGTATAAAAATTTTTGATAAACAATAGACTTAAGCAACAAACCTCTTCTTTTATACGATATTAAGATAAGCCAGGCATACAAATGCTACATGTGTGCCATTCTTTTCCATATATAAATTGATCAAATCTAAGAAAAGGAAAAGAAAGAAACAAGAAAACGTTACATTCGGAGAAACGTGATTGATTTTATGCATGGAAATGAAAAGTTTTAAATACTTCTTTTAAGCTCATAACAGATGGTTTATTAAATTTGTCGACCGCTTGTAACGGATAGGTACACAAATATCCATACATGTAATATATGTACATAATGTATGTGTATTCACAAATATTTATTCAGTCTCAGGAATGAATTCGTTCAGCAATGTTTGCCCAATGACAACTTTTCTTACCTTGCCTTACTTGTAATTTCTTTGATGATTGGAAAATCGCAAAATTTATTATAAGAAAAGTCTTTTCTTATAAGATTGAAAAATATATCTGGTCGTTTATTGCATTCTATTTGGTGTGACATCATTTGGAAAACTTTGTGTATAATCGATAGCATATTTCGAAATTTGTTCGGCGGCGCTTAAGAGAAGATGGAAGGACTAAATTTCAGACTTTTATCTTGATTTATTTATTTTCTATATATTTTGTAAATAAATTTACAAAGTATGGATATTTAAAGGTTGCTGGATAACTTAGATCATATGCTCGCCTGTATTGATGAGTCC